CCTTGATAAACGACCAATCACATTCACTTTATTCACTAGTGTAAAGTCGTGCACTCGGGAGAATTCGGAAATGCAAACGTTGGAACAGCCGCTTCCCTACTACTGTAAATGCTAGTGTGTGCAGCCAAGTTTCCACGAACTATTTAATCTCCGTGCCTCGCCGTTGCTCTTTGACATGTTGTCCGTCAATGAATTTGTCAGAACTCACTGAGCGCTGGGCGTGTCCCATGTGACGCAGAAAATAAACCAGGGATTGAAGGGATTTAAGGCCAGAACACACAGAATCTGATTTTGCGTCCGATCCGACAGAAAATCGTTTCGGATTAGGTTGTGGTGTCTAGAGCTCATTGAAAGTCAATGGGGATCATCAGACCCGACACCATTTTATGTAAGAGGGCTGCGTAGCTCCGACTGAGATAGAGCACAGGTCTATTTTAGTAGCCTCGTTAGACCATTCTGATCTCGCAAGCTTTCAAGATTTCAAGAAAATACAAAATAAAATCTGTTAAACTCATGTGGAAAGAGTCTGTTTTGAGTTGCATATCACGTTTATAGTAAGCAGGACAGATTGGTGCAAAACAATGAATGTAACATAATAAAGAAAGAAAACTTTATCTGTCTTCTGTCCTCCTGAACTCCTATACTAGATAAAGTAGTGATCCTCTTTGAGCCTCACAAAAAAACAAAAACAGAATCATTTTCTTTCTTTTTTTTCCATGAAAAATGATGCTGCACATTGTTTTAATTTTTGTAGCACAGAGATAGAAGTAAAAAAATCTGCAGAGATCTGCTCACCCTGCCTAGTCGGAGCCTCTCTATACGGAGTCAGAGGGACATTGAAGAAAAAATCTGATCGGAGATTAAAAAGTCGTACCCCTCCGGTGGGTTCAAGCCTTTAAAGTCAAAATGAATCACAGCGCCACCTATTGGTGGACTCTGGTAATAAAAAAGAAAAATCGTGAGGCACCAACTAAGACGATATTTGAACGTTTTTACACCTTGGGTAAAAGAAAGATTGCTGTATTTTAAGACAACTTAAAAAAACTGATTAAAACTAGCCTGTTTCAGTGACAGAGGCTAAATGAGAGGACTCTGAGCCTAAGTCAAAAAAAGAAAGAAACCCAGTAAACAACTTTTATGGACCTTCTCAGGTTATTGACTCATAGCTCACTTTTACTTTGAAGTTTAAAATAAAATTGAACAACTTTGAAGAAGAGAAATCACATCTATTTCACCACAAGTTAGTCAGAAATACTTAGGAACCATCATTTCTTCTGTCACAAAACAAATTCTTGATATTTACCCTCCTGGAATACATTCCACCATATTTCTGTTTTATAAACATTCATGTCATTTTTTTCCCCTTTCATTCCTAATCAGTGCAGTTTGGAGGAAAGGTTGAAGCGATGCACTTTTCCAGACTTTTCTCTCCGGTCGGAGCTGGAAGCCGGGCGTTTGCTTCAGAGCACTGCTTGTTGGTGGGTTGAGCAATTTCACCAAAAATAACCTTTTTTTTGTGCTAAAGCTAAACTAACAGCCAAAACATTTCTTAGAAATCGGAGGACCAATGCAGAAAGCTTGGAGGTGTCTCGCAACAACTGGAATGTTGGATCGTTTGGGTCCTGATTTCCGTGGCGAAAACCTGCTCCAGCGCAAATTCCAGATAATCCATCAGAACAGGATCTATGTGTATTAGATGTTAGGTCTTTACTAAACAAGTTTCTGTCATGTTCTTTCGTAGTGATGCTTGTGTTAACAGGCCACTGCTTGCTGCAGCAGCAGCTTCTGGTGTGGCTATTATGTTAAGGCCCACTGCTAAATAATTATGTTTATTTATGCAGTGCAACACTTACATCTAAAGTAGACTCTGCATCCAGCAGACAGCAGGAAGCACAGCTATTGCAATCCAGACAGAACCTTTTTTCAGTGTTCGAAGCTGATTTTTTTCTCCCCACCGGACCTTTTGTCAGCCTGATGAATCATTAAAGGCTCATCAGCATCAGTGGAAGTAAAAAAAAAAAGGAAGATGGTTTATTTTACCTCTGCTTTGTACATCCTGATCAAGCCTTGGTTGACTTTGGACCAAGAAGGAACGGCACTGATGTTCCACAGCTGGTTGGAGTGCTCAGCAAATGGACCCGTCTTCATCTGCAGACCAAAGAGATGAAGATGAGCTGATAAAACATTGAAGACACGCAGCCGCTATAACTAATTCATACTGTAAAGATCCAAACGGCCATTAACGATGTTAGAAAATGAAAGTTTAAATGGAGAAATGACATAAGCACTGCTCAGTGGAGTCTATTAAAATTCAGTATATGTAACAAACCCATAGACATGATTAATTTAAAGCTTAAGCAAACATATCTATCTTCAGATAAATAACCTATAAGGATTTTATATGACAGATTTGAGTTTGAACAAACAAAAAGGAAATACTTATATCATTTGACCTAAAATTCTTCATAATGAATTAAACAAATAGTCAAGTATTCTATATAATAAGGAAATAATAGCCCAGGTGAACATTAGCATTCCCTCATTAACTTCTCATTAATTTCAGTCTGTTCTTTAAAGCGACACAGAACCATTTCTATAGGTTTGCTCTATAATGGTTCTCTTATCTGATTCAGAAAAATACATTTTTCAAAGAGACAAAATGAAAACAGAAGCAGCTAGGCAGGATAGCATGTTGTTGCTAACTTAGCATGCTATATTAGCTCCAGCTACAGAGCCTTTTATTCTGACATAAGCACAATAGTTAGCTGTAGAATGAGGTTTACCTCTCAGTTTTATACAAATTAGAATTTGTAAAATAATTGTTTTCTGAAATATAACAGAAAACCTTTTTAAAAAATGCTACTGGTTAGCATGTTAGCATTATCATGCTAATCTTAGTTTTTGCCCACTGAATGCTGATTTGGGCAAAGTGAAGCAGCTTTGGGCAAAGTATTTTAGTTTAATAAAGTCCCTCCATTTAACTATGAATGTTTACAGCTCTATAGATCTGTATTTTATCACATTTAATCTCTTTCTTTGTTTTAGCTTTAGCATCCTTGATAAACTCAGCTGTTCTGTTTGATAAGCTGCATTAAAAATATTTTTTTTTAAAGTCAGGGCTTGGATCTGGGAACCTGATTCTCCTGCAAAGTCAAAGAACCAGAGAAAATTTCAAATTAAAATATATTCTTCCCTGTGCTTTTTACATCTTTAAGCTAATTTTGATAGATTAAATTACGTAGCCTTAGCTTAGGTAAAATATTACTGAATATGATTCTGATTAAGCAATTATTGAAATAATCGTTTACTTATTTAGTAATTGATTAATCGTTAAATGGAGTATAGACTCTAAAACACGCCTTTAAGCCGGGCATAGACTGTACCATTTTTTTGCCCTTTTCGGGCAGATTCTCCAGTCGTGCGAGAATTTTTCGATCAGGCATATTGATTTTTTCGAAATTAAAGCAGATAAAAATCTTTTCCACTTAAACAGTTCTGGATAGATCATATTGACAAACAAAAAAGTTTGTGTTGATCTTAAATGCAAAATGTTTATACATTTTTTGTCTTAAAAAGATTACTGCTTTCAGTCGTAAAATTACTGCACTAAGTGGGTTGCTCTGTCCGTTAAAGCCGAGCGTACACTGTACGATATTTCCAATTGTTGCACGCAGCTACAGCTGAAACTGTACGAAGAAACCGTATGGTTTAAGGTTAACAGCTCATGATGCATGTTCTCACACCGTGCGACCCAACGCTCTGATGCGATCTACCTGCTCACACCGCACGTCTAAAAACCAGGTGGGACTCAGCTCCGCAGTGAGATGGCGCTAATTGGACTCGTCTATCCGGAAGACAAACGAGTAGAAGAGTATTTGGACAAAGACATGGCTGAGCAAACGTGGCTACTACGGTCTGTCAGTTTTACAGAAAGAACTCCATTTCACTCATCGTACAGTGTACGCTCAGCTTAACTAGCCTCGTGAGACCATCCTGATCTCGCGAGCTTTCAAGGTTTCACTCGCAGATCAGTCTGG